GGACGAAAGAAGATGATTTGTTTTCCCCTTGGATGGCCTACGCCTTTTTGAAAAATATGTACTGATCAATTGAAAATGTAAAATAATAACTTAATGACAAGGGTTTTTTGTCTTTATTTTCATACGACTTTCGTCATATTAATTGGATTTTTTTTTATTCTTTAAATCAGAATCCAAAGACTGTTTTCGAGTACCGAGGAGATTATGTTCTAAAAGTTCGAAACTAAAAATAAAAAAGTAAACTCGAAAAAGTTTTTTTTTTGTATTTTCTTCGGTTCATCGGAGTGAACGATATTCTTTGACTCTCTCTATGATTCTATGACTATTTTAAAATGTAAAAAATGGTCTGTGGAACAAAAGAAATACTGTACGTGTTTTCGGGTTTTAGGGTCTAAGTGTGACCGTCTTTGAGACTAAGGGGAACTCTTATGAAAATTAATGCAAGGTTAGATATCAATTGATAAGATCTTTGATTGTTTAGATGGAAATGAGGGACTTTAATTAATATACAACTATCTTGATCTAGGATTTCTCCAAAACAAAAAACTATCTTGGTTGCTAATAGAAGTTTCTAATGAGCAAAACAAAGACAATGCTAAAATCATGTTTCAAGAAGGATTATTCAATCCTCCGGTTCGTTTTGTACGTTTTAGACTTTTAGTCAATAATGCACTCAAATGTCTGTCTATGCGAAGCACACTCAGAAATCATGCATATGTTGATTACTCTAAGAAAATTATATGCATTTAGAATCCTAAATCATGCATCAATTGATCGATCAAAAATGATTTAAGAAGCCATAACCCTAGTATTTCTAAACAATTTAATCACACCATTTCCTATCAAAGTTGACTCCCATTAATGATTAGGTACACAAGCATGTATATATAATTTCAATTTAGGAACATTCAATATCAAGAACCTAACATTCAATTTAGGAAATCCACCAGAGGTAGGGATGACTGCCTAAACCACCCCCACTAATAGAACTCTATTTATTTCTCCCTAAACTATTCAGCTCTATATTAAACCCCCTAAACCCACGATTATATACTTTAATCCACCCAATATATTTTATTCTATTTAATTCCACATCTCCAATTAACAAACACCAAATCGTGTTCAATAGACAAAAACGCGTTTAGTGAAAATCAATTGTCCACAAACCGACATCTTGGATCCGACCCGATTGAAACATAAAAACAATCGTAGTAAGTAAATAGTTAAAAATCGAATTGGGCAAAACTAAAGTTAGGGTTCTTGGTTTTTATTCTTTACTTCCTCGGATATCGTCTATGAGAGACGAGAGATTGATGTTAGTTATTACGCAATGGAGGATGATCTACTAGTTCTCA